CTCCTGGACTCAAAGAAAGTTTGTCAAGCCCGGTAATAGAGTAGGAAGGTTTAGAAATTCTGTCAGGGTTGTATAACAGTTTGGTAGACCTTCTCTAATTTCTCGTTTAGGTGATGCATGTCAGAATGAGCAAAACAAACTTTCTTCATGTCAAAAGCAGCATTTAAATTCTCAAAAAAAAAACCCATAAATATCTCCTCAAAATGTTTGAGTACACAGACACAGAAACCGGGCAGAGGTTATAATCTTTTCCTCTTCATCAAAACCTAAACACGTAACGTACGTAGGGCAGAGCTTCTGATGTCACTGCACTGAGCTGAGCCGGACGAACAGGTTTTTTTATCGCTTTGCTGCCATTTGCCCTGCTGGTCCGATCCAGCAATACCCAATGCCTGTACTGTTTATATCATTGTGAGTACGCATTTTTTATTTAATAAATTGCATTTTATTGGACGTTATGTCCTTGTCCTTTTTCTCTTTCCACCTGGATTTATACTGGTACCTGTGATCTGAGGAGACCTTATCGCCTTCTCTGTGCATGGGCTTCCCTCCCCCATTAAGAAGGGAAAAAGCGCATTTGACCTAGCTCTGTGGGTCTACCTCCCCAGGTGAGCACTCACTTGTTATGATCACTCACTGGGTGGAGGTGAAGGTCTGCCTGCATTGTGTGATTATCCTTACCTGAGAGTTATATGCAGATTGGCTGCGAATCATCTGAAGGATTTTTTTTGCACAATCACCATTGTTTGCTTCTGTTTTTTCCTTGAGACTTTTTATTGTCTATATTGCTTTTTTGTCTTTGTGTAGATATTTTCTATGCCTCATTTATTTGAAGGCTCATATATGTGACTAACTTATATATGTTTCAATTTATTAGATATGTATGATTATTAGCTCAGCACAATATTGTTTTTCACATTTTTCAGATATTTAGTTATATCCTTAGTGCTTGGTAGCTATTATTTCCACATCACACTTACTGGCGCTGATCACCTTTATTGTTTATTTTTAAAACCTAAACACAATTTGATTGTAGTTGGGTTTTACGTTTCAGCATTGTGTTAGTATGGGCCATAACCGTGCGCTTTATAATCTTCCTACAATCACATAAAAGGGATGTATTTCCAGCTTGAATGACAAGGCCGCAGAGCTTACAAAATGAAACATGTATTAATGTTTTTCATGCAAATATTAAAAGTGCTATGCTGAGCTTGGGCATGTAGTATTCTCCGGCATGTAACACTTGCTGGGCAGTATGCTAGAGGATTTCACTGTAACAATTGCAGCTGCACAAGAAATTGTTGACCTATTTTGAACGAGCTTTGCACTTCAGTGCAGAACTGAACTTTGGGTCCCTTGCCTGGTAAGAAACTGGAACACAGTCCACCTCTGCAGAGAGCAGCACTGACAGAATTCCATTGTATATGGATGAGCTGCTGTACCCATTTCAACAACAAAGACCCTAAAATAAAGTCAGATTCTGTTAGTCCTCTTAAGATAGGCTAGGTGTATGATATGGCAGGATCCCTGCATGGTCTGAAAACCAAGGTTTCACCTTCATACTTCAATGAAGAACACTTTTGATCTTACAAAAAAAAAAAAAAAGGTGATACATATTATGCTGTACA